TACAATATATCAAAGTGCTGTGCTATTTCAAAGACTACTTAAGAGACATTTAAAAGATGTTCATTATTAAATCAACAGATAGTAAATATTAGAAAAGCAAAGAATCTCTAACCTTGAGAAACCAGAGTTAAGAAACTGACAGAATAATAAAGATGTAAAGCAGAGTGGTGCAGAATGGAAAAAACAGTCGAAACTAGAAGAGACACAGAAAGGAAAGCAAACATACAAAAAAGATTAGTAAAGTTGCAAACGAAACAGTTTCTTTTAAAAACAAAATGTAAAAGTAAATTAGGTGCCAATTAGAGAAACTCAAAAGTAAGGCAAAATTTTGAGTTTCTTATTTTTCAGGTGAGAATTTCTCATTCTGTTATTATGAAGATAGTGCAGCTATGTCAGTGCTTAGCACAACCAAGAAAAGGTGTTTAGTAATAGTCCAAGACAGCTATAAAAAGTACTAAACAGAGACCATCTGGCTGAGACTTGATTGCTGCTCTATTAAATACCACTTTAGACAGCTAAATATTGCTATGAATAAAAAAATTGATATTTAAAATATCAAAACACTCCTTTTTTAAAAAGTAACTAGAGTTGAAAAGGTCTCATTTTCATAGAAAACAATCTTAACTTCTTGAAAGTGGGAAATGTGGTAGTGACACTAAAAAAAAAAATGTCTACACACCAAGGGAAAAAGAAAGCAAATTTAGTACTGGAATCCCTTGGACACTCAGCAATAAGCGTATTCATTCAAAAAGCTGGTATTATGCTTTCCCTATAGTAAGCTCTCTCTGCTTGGTTGGCTGTGTAACATATGACAACTAAAAATGCGTGTACCAAGTTCCTCCTCTACAAATGTAAAAGTTTGGGGGAGGAGAGGACAACTAATACGCCTGTCCTGGCAATTAAGTTTATTTTCTTCCTTGTACTACACCTATGTTTTAGTATACCATTAAAAGGTTCCCTCCCCTGCTCCCACAATTTGAATTCATGAGTTTAGTATGTCTGAGGTTTCTGTTCAAATGTCAAAGAGATTCTTACCTTCTGTAAGCTGACCCTGTCTGATGGAGGAATCATCTCTGGAGTCAAAACCTGAGGAGGATCAATGCCCTTTGTTAACTTCTGATTGATTAAATGGAAAGCCAAAGCAAACTGTTCCTTTGAAAGCTTTCCACAGTCATGTGTGTCACAAAGGGCCCTATACACAAACACAGAGAGAAAGATAATATACATGTTAAATGGAACATCTCAGTTAATCTCTCTTAGAACTATCTAGTTCTAAGATTGTATGTGCAGATTATGGAAAAGTAGGGCAACTGCTGGTGCTCATTACTACTGTTTATCTTCAAATGTATTAGAACCACTCCTGAATCCTCAGCACTGCACAGCACATTGCCATTTTTAACAAGGATAGGAAACGCACATAAAAGAAAACCCTAAGGCTCAGAAAACAATAGGAAATTCCACCCAAACGGTTTCTCTTTATACAGAAAAGATCCACAGATTTTTCCAGTGGGTCTTCAGTCTATTCTGGGAAAGAATTAGGTTTATCAGTCACTGACAGCAATAGAATATCCTGTGCCTGAAGTTCTGGCCAATTAAGAAAACTTTAGGGCTAGAAAATTTCATCCAACTTTCCCAATTCAAAAACTGTATTAACCAGTCCTTAGGGGAGAGGATGGAGGGCTTTGGAATACATTTTTCCCCCATTATGGAAAATAACACCACACAACTTTGGGGGTTAACTTCTATTTTGACTTCAAGTTACCATTTAGCTTCAGGATAAGCCAGATCTATGGACTACAGCTACTGAAGAAAAGGGGTTTCCAGGTAAGCTGCCAGAATCATCTTCCTATTCTCTCTCATCCTGACATCCACAGGAGACTCTTACTTGTAGTGTGGCTTCAGAGTAAGATCATAGTTTAATGGTGAACATAAAAAAGAGGTGGGGAGCAAATAAAGTCCTCACTATGTTTTAAAGGATGGTTTCTGTTTAGCAAAAGCAGGGTCTCAAACACTCTATCAAGAAAATGTACTCTGAAAACCTTCCAGCTTCTGTAGTCATTCTCTTACGTTGAACCTGGGATCTTTTCATCCAGGACAGGAAACTATTTCTTGTCTACAGGGTTTACCTTGGAAATTAATTCTGTACAACTTGCAAAGGGCCATTTTGTCTTAAGGAGAGGTACAATACTAGTTCTCAGTAAGTGCTTCCAATTTCAAAACCTCACTGAGTTAAGACAGAAGTTACTGAGAAAAAGTACTTTAGGTGTGTAGGAAGTATGACAGCATCGCCCTCCATCAGTTCAATCTGTAAATCCCACCTCACGGTTCCCGTGTTGTGCTGTATAACTAGGTGAAACCTTTTCTTATGAAAGAAGATTGAAGGAGTGTACCTTGTTCGGTCTCTTGACATAGAGACTGAAAAAGGATATGAACACTCTTGAAAAAAACACCTACGTGGAGTGAATATTAGGGAAGGAGAAGAGCTTTAGACTGAAAAATAACACAAGATCAAATGGCTACAAACAGGCTACAATTTATCAAACTTAGTAAATTTAGATTAGATCAACCTCAGAAGACTTCTAACTATCAGACATACTACGTCTGGAATTCTGTATTTGGTAACATTTTCTGAGAAGAGACCTTGCACCCAATAATGCACAACCTGAACTCACGGTGACTTCTCCAGCACCATGTGGCCACCTTTGCCCTTAATTTAAAATACTCCAAGGGCATTCCTATGCTACATATTTGTTTCACTTGTGTCTCCATTAATCCCTCATCAGAAAAACTGCTCAGGGAGCTACCTGGGAAATCTTTTCCTCCCAAGACTGTCAGTATTGTTACCACTGCATTAAAGATATCCTGTAAGGACATGTGAGAATTGAATAGCAGATAAGAAAACTACTGTCACCCATCTACAACATCAAAAAGACATCATCAGGATTGTTTAGTAGAATCACTTTCAAGACAAACTTCCAATAAGAACTTATTGAGATATATCAGGTAGGGAGCTGCTCTTCTTGTCCCCAGTTTGAGGCTAGAAATAGAAGTATTATAACTAGCTTGCCATGCAAAGTGAAGTAGAGGCCTTTCATATTGTGGTCTCTCCGTGGGTTGTCAAAATGGGGAAATGAGAAAAATTGTTCCCCAAAATCTTGCGTACATTTCATTTGATCAAAGCTAGCCCTTCTGCTCTCAAATTAAGAGCCCAGGGCAATGAAAAGGAATTTATCTCCATAGCAGCTAGATGGAAACCCTAAGATAGCTCTGAGACAAGAGGACAACTACAACAAGAAGACGACTGTGACTCTGCACTTATTCTTTTAGTACTGGTAAAGTCATTTTCTTCTGACATATGTCAAAGTGCTTCAACCTGCCAAGCACTCTGAATTTTTTTCTATCTGACAGGAAGCAAGTTGGCTACTAAACAGTTTGAATAGCTTCAAGTTTCCATAGTTTCCCATTGTATCATTAACATAGAACTGACTGGATACTCTGATCAGACAGCTAAACATGTGAAATCTCTGACAACCTAGACATAGCCACTGCTATATTCAACAGTGATACCGGGTTAAGTTTTAACTGATACACGCTGGTGAGCCTGCAGTCCTGAAAAAAATGGAGGCTAGAATATAAAGAAAGAAGTGGTGGAGAAGGAGGCTTCCCAAGGCATGTTTATATGGCTAAGCTGAAACAAGCCACTCTGGCAGCAAAGTTGATTAGCCTTTGCAGAGTCCTCCACTAACGGGGTTATATAATTGCTGGTTCAGGACAAAGCAAGTACAGTGCTGCTTTGTATTGTATGTACATGTTCTTACTGGCTGCCAGTAGTTCCCGTTCTAGGCTGCTGTCCCTCATTCCACAGCCATCTGCTAGGAAGAAAAGACAAATGCAAGATGCAACAATCTGTAATCAAACCTGGATATAAGGGCATAGTGATCCACAGGTGCAGCCTAGAGGGCATGTAAGCAAAGTAATTTGTTTCAGGCAGCTACAGACTCCTAAGCATAGTCTCAAAGCGGTCAGCTCACTCATGCCTGAAGTAACATCCATCTTATGTTTATTTTTCAAATTCATTTTTCTGCTCCATTTGTTAACATCAGTCTGCCTTGCTGGCCTCCCTCTAAGGAGGCAATTCCATGGGGAGTGCTTAGATGGATCAGCCTGTCTCTTTAACCAGATCTTTTCCATAGTAATCTGCTACGCTGCACTCTGAAGTCTGGAAGGCCACTAGCCAGTACATACACGTTTCATAGGGCAGCAGAAACGAGCAGACAATTCCTCTCCTCTCCCCTGACCCCAAGACAAAGTTAACTCTTGCAACACGATGAGGGGCCAAACTGTTAGCTTAAACATTTGCAACAGAATGGAATTCCCCCTCAGAGAAGTTCTGCAGAAAGGCTGGCTGGATGCATCTGTCTGCCACTGTGCAGGAGAAGAAAACTGAACAGAACTTAGCAGAAAGGTCGTTCTCTGGCTGTCAGTGACTGGCATCTGGCTCTGCCTCCATACAGCAAACAGGCAGGAGAACCATTCTGTGGACCTTCACACAAAGAAGAAAGGAATAAGACCTTTATATAGGGATAGAAAAATACACAGAATCATAATAAACTAGTGTAACAAAAGTTTTAGGAGGAAAGCATTTTCAACTTCATGCCTCAGAGCTTAAACTAGTCTGTGACCAGCAGAGGCCAGGAAGAGACCAAATACTGGGAGCAGATTATTCTACAGCTGCCTACTTGCACGGTTCTTATACCCTCCTCTGAAGAATCACCAGTAATACCAGCTATTGTGGAAGACAAAATTCCAGATTCGACAGGCCTTAGATCTGATCCAGTGTGAATTCCTATGCATTACTTCTGTAACTGATGTTTTGAAAGCATCTAAGAAACAAAGCCAAAGAGTAGAGACCTACTGAACTCATGGCATGAGAAAGCAATTTTCATGGCCCACTTGCAGTGCACAGAGCTGATTCTGTGGGTATTACATGGCAGCCCCACCCCTCAGCACCAACTGGTGGAGAGGCCACAGGAGAAAGAAGGACAAAGGGGTGGCTACCATCTTGACTGCTGGCTGCCCTTCATGCCACCCCGCCAGCTGGTGCCTTCCCCTTCCAGGCAGACTGCGAAGCCAAGCCACAGCAACAGCAAGGACCACTGGCTCCCACTGGGGAGTCAGCATTTTATTTTTATTAAGGTAATTTGGTTTTTTTGTCAATTTCCTGGAAACTTGCAGCTGATGCCATTTTTCGTGGTCATTATGGAGGTCATCATTCTTTGCAGTTTCTCCAAAAAAATCACAAAACTGCGATTTATCTAGGTCCCAGCCAAAGAGTGAATTGTCACAGAAGTGACCACTCTCACCACTAAATACAGGCAAGCTATTGGTCAAAGGAAGCAGTAAATGCAGTACAATGCTGCTACTCGCGAAAAATGTTGTGGTTGAGCAAAATACTTTAAAGAACGTCATTACTGTACCTGTCACAAACACTATTTCAGAGATTTAAAAAACCACAACAAACTGGTGTTAGAGGGGGAAACCCCTTACCAGATATGTGCAAGTAATGCAGAAGGCAGTCCTGTCTTTAAGAATATCTCTCTAGCTTCCACACCAGAGACAAAGCCATCCATGTCGTTGTCAGTTTTCAGGAAAATCTCATCGTATTTGATTTTGTCTGCAGGTGATACAACCCACTAAGGAAAACAAAATACACTGCATAAATCTCTCTATATTAAAGTGTTTAATATCTTAATAAAATACGAACCAAAAAAACCTCTACAGCTTATGATACTTTCTGCAAAAAGCAACTGCAATTAACAATCTTGACAAGGTTTTTCCCCAGAGGTTTTCCTCCTGTAGTTTCTCAATGGGGGATTTTAAGACATGACCCAGCTCCTTGTTGTAATGGACATGCTTGACCTTCATCTCTAGTGGTCGTCTCTGCTTACTACTTCATTTTCACTCATCTGCAAACCTAATGTATGCACAATACTTGCACAAATGTGAAGCAATTGAATTTTACCTAGATGAATACTTGGGCTATCATTTTGTTGTTTATTTTTTAAAAATACATATCATTCTCTTAATGTTTAGTGTTAATATTTTGACTTTTTGTATGGCTGATGCTACAAAGAAAGGAATTTTACTAAAAGCATCTTAAAGCTATAGTCTTAGCATACATTTTTAATCGCTCTTACTTGGTTTAAGTCTTCAGGTACATATATTTGAATTAAGGAATATTTTTTTCTTAACCCCAGTCTTGTTCCCTACCAGCCTCTCCAATTTTACAAACACTCTGACAGGAAGAAAATGAACTGGATCCAGGTAGTCTGAACCATCGACCCAGCTGCATGAAATCTCTCTCCTTCCTTGACTCTAATTTCTAAACCCATACCTGTGTGACGGGTGCCTTGGCAGGTAACATGCCTACAGATGACAAGGACTGATGAGAATCTTTAGCAGATGCTGACGGTGGAATGAATGGCATTGGTCCTGGAATACTGACAATTTTTCTCTTAGAAGGTGGCACCAAAGCTGCGGGCAAGGACATTGGCACTGGTTCCTTCTCCAAAGCACAGTACACCAAGAACATGGCCTAAATGTGAAAACAAACCATAGCTATCAGCATGGACTCAATAAGAAGTGGCCTAAAAGGCAGCAGAAGTGTATGACCTGTGCAGGTTTAAAGTAGCTAGTGTTTCGCAAAGAAGTTGTCTGTCAGTTTTTCCTGCCTTCTTGACCTTGGCCTTTTATGCCTCTCCTCTCTTGACAACTTATGCATATGTTTATAGTCCCTATATCACTTCACAGACAGATAAGCAACTCAGCAGCTAATTTCTTTCCTCAGTTTTTGGAAGCGATGCAGGGTAG